AAGACATGAAGTACTTGGACAAAGTGTACAAAGGTACGTATCTGAGAAGAAGGACAAACGATTGGAAGAAGAAAAGACATTAGTACTTTAATAAGATACTTAGTACTTTATTTAGTATTTTATTTAGTATTTTAGTATTTTACTAATGTATTTTATTACTCAGTACCTTATTTAATATATTTAGTATTTTTAGTATCTATTAATATCTTATTTAGTAACTTATTACTTAGCATCCTATTTAGTACTCTATTGCTTAGTATTTTAGTATCTTACTTAGCCTCTTATACTTAGTACCTTAGTATCTTCCAGAAGTACTATTCCTAAGTAGACTATACTTTCAAAGGCATATTGAAAAATATGCGATTTTGAAGAGGTTTATAAAAATTACCACATTTTTCTTAAAAACGAAGATATTTTCTTGCCTTCTTTTTTACTTTGTTGTAAAATGCACGTACGCAGTTTTACACATGGGAAATGAAAAGACTGTTTTTCATAAATTGAAGCTTATAAACAATTATGGACATATCGGCTGAAGGTATTCTTCGCGAGATAAATGAAATCGAAATCGATAATTTTTTTTTTTTCCTTTAATTAGAACGATTCACCAAATTTATATTACTTTTAATGTATTTCTGCAGAGACGTTAAGGAAATATCCACCCATCGGTCTGGTACCACGAAGAGCTCTTTGTCCTTATACTTTCAGAGACACAAAGCTCACTATACCGAAGCGTTTAATGTTATGGATTCCCATATTCGCGATACACCGTGACCCTGACAATTATCCAAATCCCGACGTATTCAACCCGGAGAATTTCAGTGACGAAGCCATTGAAGCTCGGCATCCGATGACTTTCTTGCCATTTGGCGGTGGACCAAGAAATTGCATCGGTACACGTTTAATTAAATACCAAAGGAAATAAGCTTTCTTGCAGCTAATAGTTATTTTTGATAGATCTTTCATTCTTATTACGAATGCAGAAACCACTTGTGCCAGTCATTCTTGGCCTTTTTGAAATGTGAAACTAATTTTGAGAAAAAGCAAATTTTCTGTTACGCATCAGATTCGTGTAATTTTCGCTTGCTCCTAGACATGGATTTTCTAATTGATCTACGGAATTGTTTATTATTCAGAGAAATGTTTGGGATGACGCTTGTCCTGTTTCGAAATTTTATAATGACCACCACGTTTGCCTAGGTAGAGTTGGTCTTTCAGGATCTTAAAATCATCTCCACTATTTCAAACGGAAATCGTATATATTTTCTTTATACATTGATAAATGCAGATGCAACGTTCTCCTTGGAAAAAGTAATTATGTATGTCGAACAGTTATTAGATTAGGAACTATTTTATCTTTTATTTTACAGAACCTGTTACGAAAAGTATAAAATTAAAATAAAAATATCTACTAATTTTATGCATCAATCTAAGCTCGACAATTTCTATAAAAAATAGTAAATTATGTATGTCGAAAAGCTATTAATTTAGGATACACACACACACACACACACATATATTAGATCTTTTGAGATATTTTGTATATCAGGAGAATTAACTTCTTGTTTCTAACATCGAATCACAAATTGCAATCTAACGGAGTTCGAATTTCTTTCAATTTTTCAAACTGAAGATTAGTAAATACACATTTTGCGCGTATAACGCTCCAATAATTACATCCAAGATTTGCATCAAAATTTTCCAATTCTTATACGGATAAACCTATCAAAAATGACTGTTTGCTATTATAAAAATAAGAAAAAAATCCAGATTTGTCGAATAGTATTATAAGTATTTCTATTGATATCACTGGTTAATAATTCGCATAATTCGCGTTTCTAGGCGGACGTTTTGCCGATTGTCAGACCAAAGTGGGTCTGGTCACCATCATTCGAAAGTACAAGGTGAACGCTTGCGAGAAAACCATGATCCCTTATGAATTTGAACCGAGTGGATTTACACTTTGTCCAAAAGGAGGAGTGTATTTAAAAC